TATGTGTCAATAGATATATAAATGTTAACGTATAAGGATTATGTTTTATAAAAATTCTGATTTCCTACAAGGTTAAGCACTCTGTTCCTCAGTTTCCGGCTTGTAAATGACACGTTGAAAATTCACCTAATACTATTCTATTTCTCTTAAGTTTTGAAGTAAAATATCTAGGTTTTTTTTCTATTAAGATGATTCAAATCTCTGTTGAGTTTGATTTGCTATTCAGAAAATGTTTCAGAATGAAATATATAACTGTTGAAATTGAATAATTTAGACAAACTAACTTGCTAGCAAAACATGGTAAAACATATATTCTCATACATACTCTTCATTTATAAAAAAGATAAAATACAATGGAACACGAAAGATTATGACACAATAGCTGATAACTAGGTTAAAACGAAGATAGAACAAAGAAATAAGAAGCGATGAACATTGATCAAACGTTACTGTAAGCGGAATGTATTTCGATTATTTAAAAAAAAATTGTTTTTTGCCTAATTACTATTTGTGGAAATAATAAACCCAAACTGTATTAGAATTTTTAATTAACATTTATTCTGATCCATTACTAGTATTATATCAAATTACCAGTTCTCACGAAAGTATAAAGAATTGAGATTTATGGACAAATGTTAAAATTACATAATTACTATTCATCCTAAAGTACTGTTTTATAACTCAGGATCTTATGCTTATTAAAAAAGCATGTTTCATGATGCTCATTATGGGAACTGCAGATATTTCAGTGCCCCGTTCATCTGACTCGGATTTGACCGAATGATGATGTGAATGAAATACACATCCTGCCAAACCTCGTATACAATTCTATACTTAATAAGCTTTGGAGAATAACGGAATTAAATAAGTCATCTACGAGTATGAATCTTGGATACGTATATTTCATACAGTCCTTGGTTCGGACAGACAATATGAGGAGCGAAGAGAAGTAGAGAATGTGACTGTTCCAACTTGATTTGATCAAGCGTCATTCCATCTACGAATTAACAAAATCCATTACTTCATATAATTATATAATTTTGAATAAAGTTCAAATAAGCTGCACTAATATTGTACTTAAATAGGGGACTACATATAATATGTAATTGATATTTAGGATTTACAAAGCTTGTAAATAGAAAGTTAGACAATAACCCTGATAGACTCAGTCAAAAATTTTATTTATTCATTTAGTCTTCAACCCAGTTCGTTTTTATTTACATTAAGTAGACAATAGCCCCTTTATTACTCATCAGTTTCTAGGTTTAAATGTAGCTGGAATATATCTACCTCTCCATTCTGATTGAATATTTTTCAGAAGCGCTGTTTAAGTTCAGTTGGCCAAATCGCAATGCAGTAACCAGTTCAGGTGACTTAACGTCACATATACCATATTTCGATGTTAGGTAGTTGGGACTAGTCGGTAAGAAAACCTGGACCTAGATTTTGAGATAGTTAACTCACGTTAGAAAGGCGAACGTGTAATCTTGAAGTGGCTAAAGAACACTATAGGATTCGCATTTCATTTACGCAGAATCACAGTCTGAGATGTTACTTCAAAGTTGTATGTAGATTAAATGACCTTCTGTAAGATTGAGTTATATACACTGATCACTGTATAGTGACTCATGTTGGTTGAATTTCAGGCCTTCCATTTTGAAATATGTTAAAGGTTGTGGACTGTAGGTACTCAAGGCAGAGACAAAACAACTACGGAACGTATAACTAACTTATCAATTTTTAGTATACATCTGGCAATACTATGGAAATAAGAGAAAATGAAATAAAAATAAACAGAACTCATAGGGGATTTTTTTAGATGAAATCGTTTAATTAGGCCGTACATCCGTATTAACAGCTGTATGGTAAATATGTGTCTATTGAACGACATAAATGATTGCACCATAAATTGATTCGAGACTCTTATTATCAAATGAGGTTACGTAATAATCAAGAACTAAGAGAAGAATATGAGTCTGGGAATAATTTAAGGATCAAAATTACGGAAGATAATTTTCCACTTGACAGATATGAAGAAAAACGAAAAAACACAAAGGTTTTAATAATAAAACTGAATAATAATAATCAAAAATTTATTGATTTAGCTGAATAGTGATGTAGTTATTATAACTTCCTCTATAGGAGCGGTTAATTCTGTTGATGCATATCAAATAGGCAAATTAGGTAACTTATCCCTTGTTCAAGTAAATACCATTAGTTGAATAGAAAATGTTTATTTATGTAAACCATTTCATTTTTCTTTTAACTTTGACCCATAAACTGTCTTTATCGGTTTAATATTTTATATATATTTATAAATTCATTTAAATATATAAATATATATGCTAATTACTATTTTATATTAGAGTACAGTTTAATAAAGATCTAATTAGAAACATTATTCTTCGACTGTATGCTTTGTTCTACCTTAAAATAACGGGAATTTATTATTTAACTCATCCTTATTTGAAATATATCAATGAAGATCATATAAACGACTGAAATCAGTCTATTTTGTCTTTTTTTGTTGTTGTTTATGTTTAAATTAAAACCAAATTGTTTTCTATTTATTTATTCTTGTAAGTACACCAACTAACTATCAACTAAGAAACATTCAACTTTTATTCCTTAAGGATACGTAAATTTTTTTTTATTTTTTGTGTATGTTGTTTTCTGGTACTTGTTTGTTTGTTTGTTTGTTTTATTAAGAGATGATAATTGTGGTGATGAGCATTATTGATTTTCTCTCTAATGAATTCATTCAAGCATTAGTTTACTTTTCATTTTATTGTTCATTTATATATTAGTTATTCATTTTATTTGTTTGTTTAAGAGTAATAACGATAATAAATAAATAATACATAGATTGAAATCATGAGTCAGTTGAAGCTAGACCACCATGGAAAACCTAAAAGCACTGGACTGACTTCAAGAGATACTCCTGGAGTTCTAGTGGGAAGCCGTTACCAGTGGAGTTCAACCGGTCTGTTGTGAGATAACAACTCACTGAAGACAATGGTATAAGGTGGAGCAACTTCGTGGATTTGTTATAGTTAGACATTAACACCATTGGATGCCGGCTCAGTGGTCTAATGATTAAGTGCTCGCGCGCAAAACCAGTAGGTCCTGGGTTCGAATCCCGCGTGGTGCGAGATCGTGGATGCGCACTGCTGAGGAATTCCATACTAGGACGGAACGGCTGTCATCCAGTGCTTCCAGGTTTTTCATGGTGGTCTAGCTTCAGTTGACTGATGATTTCAACCTGTGAAATTTCTAAAATCTCCACAAAGCCCTTCTGAAAATAAATAATAACAAAGAATGATGACGTTAGTGTTCGATTAGATACAACAAACATAGCAATAATAGTAATAATAGTTTTTAATGACAATGATTCAAGAATATGAAATTCCGCAATAAATCATTTTGAATTATTTACATCATAATTGTGTTTATTTATTTATTGACAAGAATCACTGAAAATTCTATTAAAATTTAATTTCTTGAAAATACAATGAGAATTTTCATGGGATCCTAGGAAAATGTTTGGCGTCAGAATAATTTTTTTGTTGAAAATATTACTTGACATTTGAGAAATTAAAATGACATTCAAAGTAACTGCGTTTACGACAATCTTGTAACATTCCGATAATACAATGAAGAGGACGAAGTTTATCAGAATTATGTCATATATATTTGCGCAATACATTTCGAACAATCTGATCACACATATACTTGTTAAGAACATTTATATATGAAAATTAAAAAAGTTGACTAGACAGGTTAAGGGTAAGTCATAACAAAGGAAAAATAATAAAGTACACAAAAACAAATATGATTACCCCACTGGATAATAAATCAGTACTACCAGGGTAGGTTAAGTGTAAGGACAAATTGTTTTTGAACACATAAAGGGGGTTTCAATTTGTAACAGTTTAAGCCTTATTGTCAACCAATTAAAGATCAGCGGATATATATGACATATTTAGATTCAAAAAATGAAAAGCATAAAATTGATGGTATGTATGTATTGTTTAAAATTTGTTTATGAAAAAACTAATTCTTAAGACATTGATAAAACTATTTATAATTATGATTTGAACTGTAATTAGAAATTAAGTCTCAGAAATATTATCAAGAAATACAGAATTAAGTAAAGAATTGTGAATTACGTAATAATACTAAATTTAATTGTTATGTGGTGTGTGCTACTTATATTGATATAAGTAGTATATGACGCGAGTTAAAAACGTAATGTCCGGCAGCAGAAGATGGGAGAAGATCAAGAAAGGAAGAGCGGGAACACAATGCAATTTGCAAGAAAACGCATGAACAATGAAATGCGAGACAATGGATTGATGTTTGCAACAAGAACAGTCCGGTTTGATATGATGGATTAATATTTTTGCAAATTAACGATTTACTATGTTGTTCTTCTATTTTACCAAGTAACTCTAGTTTGTGTGCTAAATATATTCGATTGTCTCCACCCCTGTTCTGTTCACTACAGTTAGAGCAATGTCTAAAACACAAACATTCTCTGTACAATCTATAATAAGAATCCATTGAGTTCTGTTTAAATCAAAGATTGTATGAAATACACGTATTCGGAATTCATTCTTGTATTTGACTTATTGAATTCCATTATTCACCAATGCGATCTAAGTAGATGATTATATACGAAGTTAACGAGGATGTATGTTTCGACAACAGTTATTCAATAACAATCATTCATACAATCCAAATGGAGTGAGATTTAAAGCCACTAAAAGTCAGTCTAATTTGTTGCTTTCATTTTGTAATTTCATCATGAGATAACTCTTTATAGCTAATAAAATTTTCAATTTAACTGAAGTAGTCATTTGTATTCATCTGTCCTTAACATAGAACTAAATTACATGATTAATAAATTATAATTCTATTGTTTTTTATTCATTTAAAATATGTTTATTTAACAATTTACTTAACTGAATTTTGTTTGAATCTTTCTTTTTTTGATTAAGAATAAAGCAAGTGGTTCTTTTTGGTGAAGGTGCTGGAGCGAACATTTTGGCGCGGTTTGCAGTAAGTTTTGTGATTTATCACTTATGAATATGTAAATTGATAAATAGTATTATTCTATCATAAATATATTTCATACTTGGTTAAATATTTACTAGAAAGATTACTTGTACTTTTTATGTATGTGTCTAGAAAAAACCTCATAATACTGTCTAAACAATATCTGTTCTCATATGTCACTAATTTAACTTTAAATGGTCGTGATGATACATGGGATTGGCTATGTAACATTGTTCATCAACCAATAATTTAAAATTTAAAACCTATACGTATGTTATAGTTGACCTAGCGATGATATATATTGCCCATTTATTAATGTCATGCCTAGTTGAATGTAAGTGATAATTGAATTTATTTGGAAGCTATATAAAGTTATAACTATCTGATAGCAATAATTTGAATTTTGGGTAGGACATTTGTGACATAGCTCAGTAACACGTCTTTAGCTAATTTACCATGATTTATGATCAGCGACAGTTAAACAACCTTTTATCAAGTCACGTGAAAACTTACAACTTGAACAGTATAAAAATACTACGAATATGTAAGTTACTAAATACAGTACCTTCTTCTTGCACTATTTTCTTTTTGTGCTTCCTTATAGCAGATATAGATACATATTCTTGTGTCATTGATTCATTTATCATACTTTCTTTCGAAATGTCATTCTATACATCTTTTTTTTCTCATCCTAGTGTCACGTTTTGACCAACCTTTTTATCTATCAGTCTATCTGCATTGTTGTGTGCTTGATATTCAGTGTCGTGTATTAGCATACAACATATGGAGGTATTATACACTTACAATTGTTACAGTTCAGACAACAATTGATTTAAGTTATATTAATTTATATTGTAACCGATGATAATGACTTGCTTATGATTTATTCGTTTCCATGTATATGATAACTGAACCAATTTATGTCTTTGTATGAAAAAAATAACGAAAAGATCCATTGAACGTTTTGTGTTGAACGGTGTGCGTTTTCGATGCAACAAGCCTTTTACACCCAAGTCCAAACAGCTACTTGAATGAGAAGGACGAGAATGGGAAGAAAGCTTTATTGGCCAGACTGAATGGAAGACTAACTATACAAACATTTAATAGAATGAAAATAATGAGGAAACAACTAACTATTAAATCGTAAATCACACACCAATAGGTAGCACAAACAAGAAATAGTTCTGAGAAAAAACAATAACTTTGAAATTCGAAAATACGATATCTTGAATAATTTAAAAAACACTTATTGCTGAATCATATACAAAAATAATAATTGGTCGTGTCTTCAAACACACTTATTACGTATGGTGAATAAACATCTGAAATGCTTTCTGGAATAATAGTTTAGACAAAAATGTTCAAACCAAAACTTTGCACTGGTTCATGAAGCCAATGATTGTATGCTTGGGCCACGATAGCAGATGCAGACTACCAGCCTAGTGTCAGCTTAATCATTATAACTGATAGTCGATGACGTCGATCACAGTGACAGAGATGTATTTGCAGCTCACCTACAGTGTATTTCATTCCGTGAATTAATTCTTTCTCTTCGAATTCTGAAGTTATCCTCAACTACGCGAACATTTCAGCGTGGTCCAACTTATCACATCGGAAAAAAAACAAGTTTACTGAAATTAAGGGCTTAAAGTGGAAGTTCTAATGAAAAAAACAACCTAACATATCAGCCAGTTGTCCATATGGACATTAATTAATCAGTGATTAAATATGTAGCTTCGAGGTAAAGATTCGATTATATTCATCACACAACTGTCGATTTTTGCTCAATATTTGAAGTATGGAAATCAGAAATGAACGAACGATATATTAATTACTTGAAATATATCTGAATCCAGAATACTGAAACGGATGAACAGTTGTTTTTGGAAGCGTGTTTAATGATTAAGATGAGTGTGCATTACACTTTCACTCTTGTTAGAGCAATGTACTTCACTTGTAGTATTTAGATAGACACATCTAAAGAATCATTAGACTTTTTTAAGTTAAATAAGAAACATCCATCATCTTGAAACATTGATTGATGTTAATTTCATCAGTTGTAATTTATCATTCCGTAGACAGTTTGAGAAGTATTATGAACTATGATTCATTCGTTATTTTCTCTTACTTACATGGTGTTATTTCGAACACAATACGAAATTAGTAGTACTTCTAACAGTATCAACTTTTTTAGATTTAATGGTCATAATAAATGGTGGTCAGATATAAAATTTATATCAAGGATATACTAATAAATAGATCTGCAATTCTCTCTCAGTGAATTAACTCTTAGTAGAAATAAAAAATTACAGAAATCAGTAATTACTATAGTAATTAGTTGTTTCATTAATAAGTAAGCGAATTCTATCGTTATTCTGACAGAAATTAATCTGGGATATTTCAGCACTACAATTATGTATTTGATGGTTCTTATTTCACATGCGCATTGACGATTCATAAACAATTTCAACTTTCAACTTGCACATTTATTTTTACTTCATATAAAGACAAATTTAACATCTTATATCAACTATTAATAACTCAATCTTACACATTCACACACGATTCATTCAGCCATTTATTTCCACATTGTGAACTTTTCCCATGATTTGCAAATAACCGACTCATGTTATCCTACTTCTTAAAGTTAACATCTGTAATGATTGAAACACCATATATTTCTTTGATAATCTTGTTTTTGATTGTCCTGAAGAAGTCCAGACAAGTTAAATGGACGAAATGGTGAAATTAATTAAATTTCAACCGCTGAGTTTATTTCAAATATAATTTTCACATACAGTTTTAGCCATAAAGAAATATTGCCTAACTATTTCATTTTCTGATTAATAAAACGTGATTTGAGTTTTAAACGGAACAAAAAATTGTATATTTCAACTGTTTATCTAATCCTGTATATAGGTATCATAATTACCAAGGTAAATAAACTCAGATTTGATGTCTCCAACCTATATATATATATATATATATATATATATATATATATATATATATATATATATATATATATATATATATATATATATATATATATATATAAAAGAATCATCATTGTAAAATTGTAAACTGGTCTAAATAAATAATAGGACATTTTTAGAAAAAATCTGATTTTCGATTAATTTACCCATAATCCTTCTCACCCTAAAATTGGGATTTAAAATCTACACTTAATTGTTCTGGTTCCTTTCTTGTATCCATGAGAACAAACATATGTTCACTGATTATATTGTTATTGGTGATTTTTTCTATTATTCTCCTATAAAAATTAATGAATAAGAAAATCCTAATAATAATTTATTAGACTGAGATTACCGGCTAAATAAAGAAAAAAAATAGACAAGATAAAAGAATGTTACCTTAAATATCTAGTAAAGTTTTAGTAAGCAATTATTTAATAGTTACTATTTTATTAGAATGGGTTTTTTGGAGGTTTTCGAAATTAATAGGTGCTGGGTTCGAATCTCGCTTAGGGCGGGATCGTGGATGAGTACGTCTGAGGAGTCACATACTAGGACGAAACGGCCATCCAGTGCTTCCAAGTTTTCTATGGTGGTCTAGCTTCAATTGACTCATGGTTTCAAGTTTAATATTTATTTTCAGATTAAATGGGATTCATCTTCAAAACCCATTTAACGTATCTGAACGAAAACGTTTTTTGTAAAGCTGAAAGACAAGAATAGAAACTAAAAAGGATGGCGACCTAATAAGTGTTAATCAAAGGCTAAAATGATTCAAATACCATTTCCCACTTAAACATTTAAATTCAATTAGTTTAATGTTACGCAGTTATATTTGTAAAGCATCTAACAATAATCTACGCATTATTCTAGGCGGTATCAACTATGTAGTTAGTGTTTTACAAACTTGGGCTCACATAATTTAATATCTCACATGGAGAGAGCGACTGTCACCATGTCTCAAATTAGAATACTCTAACAAGTATAACTCGTTATCTATTGACTAATAGCAGTAATCAAAAAATTTCTGTGCAATAAAATATCTATCTGTTTATGGACTTTTATTGTCTACAAACGTTCTCGAATGTCAATGATTTTACAAAATAACTATTGATGTTCAGAGAATATTGGAAAATCGGTGTAAATTCCAGTGGATTATAGGATGAGGTCGAATTCTATCATTTTATACTTTATGTGATCAATATCAACCCTTAAAATGAATAAATGAATGTTATTAGACGATTATTTATAGTACAACACACGTTTTTAATTCAAGTTAGAAAGTGACTCGTATTGAAAAAGAAGACATACCTTCTTTCTTATTCGGGATTCATCAGCTGGATCTACGTACATCTCATTGTTGAATTTTACACTTTAACTCAGCTTATTTCAATTCTGCTACTGGCCACCATCCAACTAAATAGCAATATGGAATCGATGAGCCCAGGATGCATAAATGCTGACAGAAACTTATAATTTTCATTCCTTAATATCAACAAGGGAAAAGCACAAACATTTACAAAACAGTATACAGAACAGAATGAATACCAAAGTTAATTTGTTTAATATTCTTAAAAAGCATTTTGTTCAAATTTTTATTTGTTTAAAACACTTTGTCGCTTCTTATGGATTAACGTATTCGCTCAACAGAACATGAATGTTGAGCATATGCAAATCAAATTTTAGCGCTTGAGATTTGTAGGGATTATCGTTCTGTAGAGTTTGCTTCCAAACTGACAAATTGTTTTGTCTCAAAATATGATCGGTAAGCGGAACGTGGGTCGAAATCAGGACTTTCAGTTTTTTTGGTAAGGGACTTCTAGACCATTTAGTTGGGTTCCATTAAGTTAATTTTCTGACTTCAATCAATTCGTGATACTATGCTGCCTTCTATTTCACTAGTTAAGCATGGTTTACTTTATCCTACGTTGGTAGTGAAATGGAATATCTATGTCAGCTTAATTTCTATATAGATTAAAAGAAGTAGCTATGTGCACTAATTACTCAACTAAAATTATTTCAATGATC